TCTAAAATCGATGGTGAGGTGAGTGTAGAATGCCTGGGGGGCTTGATCAAGTGCAATGTAGAACATGATAGTGGGACAAGAGGAAAGCAAAAAGAGATAGACAACTAGGAGGCAAAAGACATTTACAGAAGTATAAATATATGTAAACATATTTTTATATAATGATAGGGATATAGGTCAATGCACATATATTTATATGTTTAAGTATTAAGGCAAATGTGATGAAGAAAGCTGATGGTGCCTGGCTATCAAAAGATACAGCCTCTGGGGTCTTAAAGGCTTGAAGGTAAACAAGTGGCCATCTAACTGGGAAGCAACAAAACCCATATGGAAGAAGCACACTAGCGTGTGTGATCATGAGGTGTTGACAGGACCAAGTATCAGGCATCAGAAGACCCAAAACAAACAACCATTTCGATGGGAATGAGAGGGGTCAGGATGGAAACCCAAAGCCCATTTTTAGACAATTGGACATCCCTTCACAAGGTCACAAGGAAGGGATGAGCCAGCCAGGGTGCAGTTTAGCACCCAAGAAACATTCTTCTAGTTCTTTAATGCTTCCTCCCCCCACTATCATGATCCCAGTTCTACCTTACAGATCCAGCAAGACCAGAGTATGTACACTAGTAGATAAGAGCTCCTGACACACAGAATCCAGGACAGATAAACCCCTCAGGAACAGTAATGGGAGTAGCAATACCATGAGGGTAGTGGGAAGGTTGAGGAACAGCGGGGAATCGGTCACAATAATTGACATATAACATGGGTGGAAGGAGACAATGGACAGTGTATGACTATTAAAATTATTATAATAATTTATAATTTGTCAAGGGTTCATGAGGGTTGGAGGGAGGGAGGAAAAAAGTGAGGAGCTGATTACCAAGGGCTCAAGTAGAAAGAAAGAACATGTTTTGGAAATGATAATGGCAACGGTGCAAAGGTGTACAAAGATGCCTGATACAATGGATGTATGGACTGTTTATTATAAGAGCTGTAAGAGCCCCCAATAAATGATTTTTTTAAAAAGAAAAACAATTAAAAATTAATGGGAACTTTTTTCCAGCCAATATCAAGCAATGGATAGCTCCCAGGACAATCAACATACTATTTGCTACAATACCATGGGCAAAAGAAAGCTGTACAACAAGAAATGGGTGTATGAACTGGGACACGTTGTTGTCAACTATAAGAATGGCACCCTCAGTACTATGTATAGTTTAAATGAGATGAGGCAGCAAGTAATACTATGTCCTAATGCTGGATGGTAAGAATTTCTTGAGCTTTACTTAATGAGACTCAACTATATTATCTACAATGTGTCTAGTAACAAGCTGGACCACACCAAAGCTCTTGGTGAAGAACCAAATCCTGCTCATAACAGCGCACACACCAACAGTCTTGACTCTCATTATGCACCACTCCTATAGAAACCCTGGTGGCATAGTGAATTACACATTGGTTGTCTAACTGCAACGTCTGCAGTTCAAAACCACCATCAGCTCCATAGGAGGAAAGATGAGGCTTTCTATTCCTATAGATTCTGTTTCGGAAACACATGCTCTTGTCCCATAAGGTTATTATGAATCAGAACTTAGTGAATGGCAGTGCTTTGGTTTTTTTTTTGTTTTTTCATTTTATTAGGGGCTCAAACAACTCTTATCACAATTCATACATACATGATTGTGTAGAGCACATTTGTACATTCACTGCCCTCATCATTCTCAAAACATTTGCACTCACCTAAGCCCCTGGCATCAGCTCCTCATTTTTTTCTCCTCCTTCCCTGCTTTCCCCTCCCTTGAACCCTTGAAAATTTATAAATTATTTTTTGTCATATCTTGCGCTGTCCGACGTCTCCCTTTACCCACTTTTCTGTTGTCCATCCCCCACGGAGGAGGTTATATGTAGATCCTTGTAATCGGTTCCCCCTTTCCAACACCCTCCCTCCACCCTCCCAGTATATCCACTCACACCACTGGTCCTGAAGGGATCATCCACTCTGGGTTCCCTGCATTTCCAGTTCCTATCTGTACCAGTGTACATCCTCTGGTCTAGCCAGATTTGTAAGGCAGAATTGGTATCATGAAAGTAGGAGGATGGGGGGCGGCAGAAGCATTTAGGAACTAGAGTACAGTTGTATGTTTCATCATTGCTACATCACACCCTGACTGGCTCGTCTCCTCCCTGAGATCCTTCTGCTATAAGGAGATGTCCAGTGGCCTACAAACTCCACACTCCCCACCTCATTCACAATGGTATGATTTTTTTTGTTCTGATAATGCCTGATACCTGATCTCTTCAACACTTCGTGATCGCACAGGCTGGTGTGCTTCTTCCATGTGGGCTTTGTTGCTTCTGAGCTAGATGGCCCCTTGTTTACCTTCAAACTTTTAAGACCCCTGATGCTGTACCTTTTGATAGCTGGGCACCATCAGCTTTCTTTGCCACATTTGCTTATGCACCCATTTTTCTGCAGTGATCGCATCAGGGAGGTGAGCACAGAATGGTTTTTTTTTTTTTCCTTTGACGCCTGATAATGGACTATGCCTAAAGTCGGAAGACGATGCCTGCTAGTCTAGTGAAGAGTTTCGGAAATACACAGGGCAGTTCTACTCTGTCCTATAGGATCGTCATGACACAAAATGGACTCCATGACAGTGAGTTAGGTTTGGGTTTGGCTCTTAAAGTGCAGGGAGGAGATAAAAATCTTTACCGAGAATCAAGAGATTTTCAACAAATGGCAACTGAAGAAAGTTCAGGGGGGAAAACAGATGAAGGGTAAAAGAATGCCCAGATCAGCATCTCCTGGAGGAGCCGTAGCAGCAGGACAAGCTCCTTACACTTACTACTACTTTGTACCTGAGCAGAGGGCTAGGTGCTGTAGGACAAGGAGCTGAAGCTCCATCAGAGGAAAACCAAGGCCCAGAAAAACAAATAAATCCTCCTCTTAGCTACGTATTAAAGGTGCTTGCTTACTCGCTTAAAAAGAAGTGATGGCTAGAAAAGAGTAAAGTATATCACAGTTTTAAGCGCTATCACAAGACTTACAGGACAGGATACAATGGTTCTGTGTTTTTGTTGTTACTGTAAATGTCCATGCTCTAATCCAGGAAATTCCTCTAAAAGGAAACAAGCCCGCTTCTAAGTTAGATTGTACATCAAGAAAGGAAAAAGAAATGAAGGAGATATAACATGAATCAACAAGCAAGTTGATAAATAACCTGAATGAAAACTACACAATTGTCAAAACCACAGTACGTTGAAGGAAAAACTAGCAAATTCCCGAATAAAGTAGAACTGGAGCGGGAAGTGGGAAAGGGCATGAATATGACTCATCATTTTTTTCTTCAAAATTTAATTTATTTCAATTTTACATTAAAGTTTATGAACTAAGAACTACTTTCTAAACTAATCTTTCTGAGCAACGATTGTGATTTTATTTTAAAATTTCCACCTTTACCTCCTTACTAAGACTCCCTTTTTCAAAGATATCGACTCAGCAATTTTTTAAAAAAGTACCTTCAAACACATTTTTTAAAGTAAAAAAACAAAAGTAATTTAAAATTGCCAATAGTGCCAAAGTCAGAATGAGGTGCACCATCTCCGAAATTCAGATTGGTTTGGGTTTATGCTGTGCTGGGTTGATAATTTTCAGGAAATTACACTTCCATGACTAATACTAATTTTAATATCTCCACACCATAAAAGGTTAAGAGACTAAGATCTATTTTACAGAGCATGAAATAATGAAAATACATTTGAGGCAAAGTCCTAAAAAACAATATGAAAGCATAAATTTAACAACCAAAGAAAATTCTAAGATTTAAAAAAAAAAGCAGACCCAGAACATACCAAAACATCTCATTTAATACTACAGATTTGAAATACACTTACTATTGTATATCATGAAACATCACATCAATATATGCTTCCACACTGGAGACAATATAGTACAGTGCTTAAGTAAGTATAGTTCATTAAAATATTAACTCCTTACAGAGTTTAAGCAGTGACATTTACAATACCATAAGTCTTACCACCATGTATTTGTCTTTTTATTTGGGAAGCCTTGAAAAGCACTGTATGAGTATTAACTTATTTAGACAAACATATCCCCTCTCTCCCTTTCTTTCACAAGCATAACATCAAAGAATCTAATGCAAATATCTACATCATTTAGTTGTCACTAGAGTTGTCACCTCACTTTAAAGTCAATACAACTCCTATAAAATAAAATTTAAAAAAAGCAACCTCACTCTTTACCTTAAGATATGAGGGGGCTTCAAATTCCATTTTTCCATGAACCTTTCCTTCTACATTTCTTAAGTTCCTAAATCTTGCTTTGAGATTTAAGTCTTAAAATTCAAATGAAAGTACTTAAATTATAATCCAGTATTGTTTTTGAAAGTCACTAATTGCTATTTATAACTGCTATCACTTAATAAGTAAATGGATACAATACAATAAATGGTACAAATATTTAAATAGAAATCTTTAAGCTTCCTTATGAAATTAGCTAAAGAACAACCTGGAAGATTTTGACTATCCTCATCAAAATATTCCAAAATTGAGACTGTAAATACATAGTAAGATACACACATGGACAGATCAATCTATCGTTTCTGCATCTCCCGGCTTTACAAATAAGGCCCTCTTTCATCAGTTTCTGAAAATCAACCAAGTCATTGAATCAATACCATTAATACCATCCATTAATGCCATCAATTTAATCTTGCTAATTCAGTATTTTACAGATACTGACAACAAATGCCAATTTACTTCATTGCTTAAGTGCCAAATAGGTTTCTGGTTTTAAAAGTACTACTAAAGCTGCCCTTTACAAATGAATACATCAAATTTGTCATGTCTCAAGAGTCTATTAAGATTTACCAGGTAAACACAGTGCCTTTCAATAAAGAAGTACTTGCTGCCAATGTGTGTATGCTCATGTGTGTTCAATGGTCCTTTAATGGCTTGTCTTTGGAATGATTCTGTCCTACCTTTGCTGCTGCAGCCCGCCTGTCCTTTGCATCACTGAATTCATACTTCTGGAAGTACCCAATATGCACTGTAACAGACAGATGGACAGATCAATGGGCCACAGCGGCAAAGGCCAGATAGACAGACTTGATAAAAATTAAAATCAAGATATATAAAGGGGAAGGGGAACCAAAAGAAAATAAGTCTATCTCTGTTTTGTAGTAAAATACCTAACCTTCATGTCTGCAGTCCTCCCACGTACCTTCCCCAAATAAACTGGGTATTTTTGGTTTTTTTAATTATTTTATTGGGGGGGGGTGTCTTACAACTCATCACTATCCATCCATCCATCCATCCATCCATCCATCATGTCAAGCACATTTGTACATATGTTGTCATCATCATTTTCAAAATATTTTCCTTCTACTTGAGCCCTTGGTATCAGCTCATCTCCCCCCCCCCCAATTAAACTGGTTTTCATTCATATATTTTTCTTTGTTTTGAGAAAAAATAGTACCATTTATTTCAATAGACAAAATAAACCAGTACTTTTAAAAGCAACAAAAGGTTACTAATTCAACAGACATTTAAATTGGTAACCATACCAGTTTCAATACATATAGGCTGCTCTTTAATATACAAGAAACCATTTATCATATTAATCAGAAGCATTCTTCATCAAAATTAAAATGACAATTATTATATGCCAAAATTTTCTACTGTAATGCCAAGGTCTATGTAATAATAGTTGGAATCACTAAATAAAAATCATTTTCAACATTTTTTAAAATCATTTTATTAGGGGCTCATACAACTCTCATCACAATCCATACACACATCAATTGTGTAAAGCGCATTTGTACATTCATTGCCCTCATCATTCTCAAAACATTTCCTCTCCACTTAAACCCCCGGTATTAGGTCATTTTTCCCCTCCCTCCCCGCTGCCCCCTCCCTCATGAGCCCTTGATAGTTTATAAATTGTTATTTTGTCATATCTTGCCCCTGTCCGACGTCTCCCTTCACCCACTTTTCTATTGTCCATCCCCCAGGGAGGAGGTCACATATAGTTCCTTGTAATCGGTTCCCTCTTTTCAACATTTTAACATTTGCCACTCCATCTAAGGTAAGGCAATTTGTAGATCTTGAAAAGTGACCTGGTGGTAAGATCTGGTAAACGGCAGACTACTAACAGCATTGTTAGTGGTGCAAACCCTTCCATGTGAGTGAGAAAGATGAGGCTTTCTGCTGCAGCAGATATAGTGTCTCAGAATCAACGCAGTGGCAGTGGCTTTGGGGACTTAAATGAAAATCACCTAGAGTATTTTTTTAAAGCTAGGCTTTCCTGTAACTGCAAGTCCATTCCAACAAGTATTCATACTTCAAGGCGCTTCCTAAGGTTTTAAAAGAAACCCTGATTGTCTCAAAATGCTCACCAACATATATTCTGTACTTTGATAAACTTCTTATGAAACATTATTCCAAATGCCTGTCTTCTCCAAATGCCAAATCTTCTGTCTTTACTAAAAGCTTGTACCTATTGAAAATCAAGCTTAATCAGCACACTTGAGAAAGAAACTTCCCATATATTCCTCAAAACTATGAGCAGATAAAAGAGACATGATAACTGTGCACAATCCTTCACACTGAATCCTAGATGGAGAGAAGAGTGAGTTATAAATGATACCACTGGACAATGGGCAAATCTGAATGTAGTCTATTATTTATTTTATACAAACCTATTATTAATTCATATAACCACATAATCCACCCTTTTAAAGTGTATTTAGTTCAATGATTTTGACTATATTCAGAGCTTTATACTCACCAGCTACTATCTAATTCTTTTTTAATTTTTTAAGTTTTATGGCCATAAATAAATTTTAGAGCATTTTCTTTATTCTTGTACTCATTATTAGTTCCCCATTACCCCTCAAGAAACCCTAAGAAACTATTAATCTAGTTACTATCTCTACAGACATGCCTAGCCTACCTTTTATATAAGCAAAATCACACGGAAAAAAAAAAAAGAGAGAAAGAAAAGCATTAATCAAAAAGAAAGCAGAAATAATAAAATCTGGGTCAAAAGGGAAAACAAATAATAATATGTTAAATTTTCACCTAACCATATCTGCATCAGAAGTCCTGGTGATGGGGTAGCTATGCATTGGGCTGCTAACTGCAAAGTATACAGGATTCTCACAGAAGCAGTTCTATCCTGTCCTATAGGTTCCCTATGAGTCAGCATTTACTTGATGGCAGTGAGTTTGGTTTGTGGTATATTCTGCTTTAAACTGTTTTCCAATGCACTCCGTCTGAAGGCAAGTCTATACACACCCCTGGTCAACGGTCAGAGTGGACTTATTGGAAGCTTAATCCATGTGGAGATTCTGCAGATGGATTTTGGGCTTTCACTGTCATCCATAGCCTTCTGCAAACTGGGTGCTCAGAATTTAGGCTCTAATACAATTCCCTCCTCTGTTCTTGGACTTTACATTATTTACGACCTTTGAATGACACAGGCTAGTGTGCTTCTGTGTAGATTTAGCTGACACCTCACTTAAGTGACTGCTTGTTTTAAGACCTCAGATGCTATTTCTTTTGCTAGCCATGCACCATCTGATTTCTACACATTTTGCTATAGCATATATATCTTCAGTCTACTATCTAATTTTAGAACATCATCATCACTCTCAAAAAGAAAACTATACCCATTAGGAGCCTCTCTGCATTCCCCACTTCCCCCTAACCTTTGGCAACCACTTACTGACTTTCTGTATCTATGAACTTGCCTATTTTGGTCATTTCACATAAATGGTTATCATGTAATATGAGGCCTATAGAAAGGGTGAACCAATTACAGGGATATACATATAACCTCCTCCCTGGGGGACGGACAACAGAAAAGTGGGTGAAGTGATGGGAGATGTCAGAGAGTGTAAGATATGACAAAATAATAACTTATAAATTATCAAGGGTTCATGAGGGATGGGGGAGCGGGGAGGGAGGGAGAACAATGAGGAACTGATGCCAGGGGCTTAAGTGGAAAGCAAATGTTTTGAAAATGTTGATGGCAACGAATGTACAAATGTGCTTTACACATTGATGTATACATGGATTGTGCTAAGAGTTGTATGAGCCCCCAATAAAATGATTTTTTTTAAAATTACTGCCATAAAGTCAATTCCAACTCATAGAGGACAGGGCGCTACAGGAGAGGGCAGATCTTACCCTGTGGGTTTCTGAGACAGTTAACTCTTTATGGGATTACAAGTCTCATCTTTCACTTATCAAGGATTCAGGAGGGAGGCAGGGTGGGGGAGGGAGGGGGGGGAAATGAGTTAATACGAAGGGCTCAAGTAGAAAGAAAATGCTTTGAAATGATGACGGCAGCATATGTACAAATGTCCTTGACACAATGGATTTATGGATTGTGAGAAGAGACGTAAGAGCCCCCAATAAAAGAATTTAATAGTAATAAAAAAATAAGTCTCATCTTTATCCCATAGAGCTGCTTGTGGTTTCGAACTGCTTAACCTAGCAGATCTCAGCCCAATGTGTAACCCACTACGCCACAGGAGCTGGCTAATTTCATGATTTAATTTTAATTATACAGGCAAGCCAACACAACTTGAAAAGCAGCTACTAATCCAACTAGTTAAAGATAGTTAAAGCTACTTAAAGCTTCAACTACTGTTAGCACTCATTTGACAGATGAGGAAACTGAACTCATTCACCTTACATTACTAATATAAAGTCACACAGCTAGTAAATGGCAAAGCTGGAACCAAATTTGATTCTTTATGATGCCACAAGACTCACCCATTATGTTATTTTACCTCCTATTACAGGAATTCACCAACTCTTACTGATTCAACCTCCTAATATGAAGGGACTTGAAAGAACTTGTGGGAAAATGGAATTTAAAAATATAAAAATTTTAACACAAACTTTCTGAAGTTCCCCATAGGCAAAAAGCCCCACCACCACCACCACCCTATCCCAGTCTTGCCAAATTCTACCATATTTCTTACCTAGATTGCTGTAATACTCATTACAATCCCTATTTTCTATCAATCCTGTTTCCATTTATTCCCAATACTGCCAATGGAGTAAGCAATCTAAACACTAACCTAATCGTATTAGTTTAGTAAAGACTGTTTTACTTGGGTCTAGGGGATAAACCTATCTCAACAAGATAAACTTATCCCAGGTAAAGTCTTTCATAAGCTGGTCGCACCACCTACCATCTGCCTCAGCTCTGATCACTCTACTTCCCCCAAATATTCAATTCTTCAACATACCAGACTATTAGTAGTTGGATATCTTGACTTGAAAGTCCCACTGTCACCTTCCATACAACATATCCTAACAGAGCTCATTGTTTTACCCAAACCTTCTCTTCCCAGTCTCCCAAGCTATTAAGCCTGGAAGTACTCTCCATCCCTGAGGTAAATTATTTTGTCAACCTGACGATGTATGAAAGTGTAGGAGTGGAATCCAGCCTGATGATGCCTCCATGCGGGTGTAGACTTCTTGGTAGAGGAGGGGACTGGAGACCTCCAGCTCTCTGTCCCTTTGCCTTGCTCCCTACAGGGCCTTGGCACCGATCCTGAGAGCTGCCAGTGAGTGCCCTGTCATGTTTCCACTGACCTTGGCTCTACATGACTCTGTACCCATCAGCCTATGATCTTGTATTTTTCACCAATGGATGTGGCTATCTAAGTCTGAAAAAGAACTTAAGGAGTAACATCGGACATAGGATTTGGGTTGGGCTGGGATGCCTTTTTGACATATATCTATAACTACTACTTATTATAACGTTTTCTTATACCCAGATGGATGTCACTAGATTTGTTACTCTAAGACAATCCAGCCTAACACAATCTCCCTTCCTCAAACTATTACTACCTTCCTTCCTAAAGTGCTGTACACTATCCGTATTCCTGTAATAATGTAGCAGCTAATGAAATACTGACTGGTAAAAGCAGTCATGTACTCACTTACATACTGCTTCCAACTAAATAGAAGCATTATTTTCAAAGGCCCAGTAATAGCAGAAACTCATGAAAGAAAATCGTAACCATT